TGGTCATTAATATCCCTCAACATTAGTGGCCTTAAATCACCAATTAAAAAGACACAGGCTAACAGAATGGATGTGAAGATAGAACCCATACTTCTGCTGCGTAAAAGAAACACACCTCACCATCAAAGGCTAACATTACCTGAGAGTTAAAGGTTGGGAAATGATTTTCGAATCAAATGTACCCAAGAAACAAGTAGGAGTAGCAATCCTAATATCTATCAAATTAGACTTTCAAATAAAACCAATCAAAAGAGATGAAGGAGGTCATTACAGACTCATCACAGGTGAAATCCTCCAAGAGGAACTTTCAATTCTGAATATCTATGTCCCAAATAAAAAGGCATCCATGTTCGTAAAAGAGCCATTACTAAAACTTAAATCACATATGAAGCCAAAAATAGTTTTAGAGGGAAACCTCATCACCCCACTCTCACCACTAGATAGTAGAATACCAGGCAGAAATTCAACAAAGAAGCAAATGGTATAATAGAAGTTATGACCCAATTGGGATTAACAGATATCTATAGAACACTCCATCTACATAGAAAAGAATACACTTCCTTCTCACCACCACATGCAACCTTCTCAAAAACGACCACATACTTGGCAACATATCAAACCTCAGCAGCTACAAAATTTGTAATAACTCCACTCATCTTCTCAGACCACCATGCGTTAAAATTAGAATTAAAAAACAACACAAATTGCAGAAACCTACAAAGTCATGGAACATCAATAATGCATAACTGCACCATTCCTTGGTCAAAGAAGAATTAATAAAAATATGTTAAAGACTTCCAAGGATTCAATGAAAATGAAGACACTAAATACCCAATCCTATGGGATACATTGAAAGCAGTGCTTCCGGGGATGTACATAGCACTAAGTGCTCACATGAAGAAACTGGAGAATAGTTACACTGAAGAATTAACAGCACAGCTGAAAGCTCTAGAACACAAAGAAACAAACTCCCCCAGGAGGAGTATACACCAGGAAATAATCAAACTGACGGCTGAAATCAATAAAGTAGAAACTAGGAAAACAATACAAAGAATCAATGCAATGAAGAGTTGGTTCTCTGAGAAAATTAACAAGATGGAAAAACCTTTGTCCAAACTTACAAAGCAGCTGAGTGTGAACAGGAAAATTAACAAAACCAGAAATGAAAAGGAGAACATAACAATGGCTCTGAGGAAATTCAGAGAATTTCATATCTTGAAAACCTGTACTCCACAAAATTCGAAAACCTAAAGAAAATGGACGACTTCCTGGATAGCTATCACTTGCCAAAATTAAATCAAGAACACATAAGCAATTTAAATAGAACTATGACCCTTATTGAAATAGAAGCAGTCATCAAAAGTCTTCCAACCAAAAAAAAAAAAAAAAAAGCCTAGGTCGAGATGGCCTCAGTGCAGAATTCTACCATAAATTCAAAGAACAGCTTATACCAATTGTTCTCAAGATATTCCACACAATAGAAGCAGAAGAGTCTTTGCCAAAATCTTTCGATCAGGCTACAATAACATTGATCCCCAAGCCACACAAAGACACAACTAAGAAAGAGAACTTCAGACCAATTTCCCGTATGAACATTGATTGAAAAATACTCAATAAAATACTGGCAAATCAGATCCAAGAACACATCAAAACAATCATTCACCATGGGCAAGTAGGTTTCATCCCAGTGATACAGGGATTGTTCAACATACAAAATCTAACACGATTCCATGTTAAAGGTCTTGGAGAGATCTGGGATAACGAGATTATAACTAATCATAATAAAAGCTATATACAGAAAACCAACAGCCAACATCAAACTAAATGGACAGAAAGTCAACACAATTCCGTCAAAATTAGGAACAAGACAAGGCTGTTCCCTCTCTCATACATTTTCAATATTGCACTTGAAGTTCTAGCCAGAACCATACGACAACAAAAGGGGATCAACGGGATACAAATTGGAAAAGAAGAGGTCAAATATTCTCTATTTGCAGATGATATGATAGTTTATATAAATAACCCAAAAAACTCTAACAAGGAACTCTTACAGCTGATTACCACCTTCAGCAATGTGGCAGGCTACAAGATCAACTCAAGAAAATCAGACACCCTAACATATACTTATGATAAAAGGGCTGAGAGAGAAATCAGAGAAACATCACCCTTGACAATTGCCACACAAAAGATAAAATACCTTGGGTTAATGCAAAGCAAACAAGTGAAAGACCTGTATCGCAAGAACTTTGAGTCTTTAAACATAGAAACTAAAGACACACTCAGAAATGGAAAGATCTCCCATGCTCTTGAATAGGTAGGATCAATGTAGTAAAAATGGTAATCCTGCCAAAAGCAATCTACAGATTCAATGCAATCTCCATTAAAATACCAGCACAATTCTTCACAGAACTTGAAAGAACAATAATTAATTTTGTATGGAAAAAGAAAAGACCCAGGATAGGCAAAACAACCTTACTCAACAATACATCATCTGGAGGCATTACCATCCCTGGCCTCAAGTTCTATTATAGAGCTGTAGCCCTGAAGATAGTTTGGTATTGGCAAAAATAGACAGGTAGACCAATGGAATTAAATTGAACACCCTGATATTAACCCATACATGTATGAAAATCTGATCTTCTACAAAGTGCCAACTTGTACAGGCAATTTAAAAACCAGTATGGAGATTCCTCAGAAAAATTGGTATAAACCTACCACAAGACCCAGCACCTGTACATCCAAAAGATGCCCATTCATACAACAAGGATGTCTGTTTCACTATGTTCATAGCAGCATTATTTGTAATAGCCAGAATATGAAAGCAACCTAGATGCCCCTCAATGGAAGAGTGGATAGAGAAAATGTTGTACATTTACACAATGGAGTACTATTCAGCAGAAAAAAACAATGGAATCCTGAAATTTGCAGAAAAATTGATTGCACTAATAGAAACCATCCTGAGTGAGGTAACCCAGTTACAAAAAGAGAAACCTGTCATGTACTCTCTCATATATGGATTTTAGACTTAGATCTTGAGGGACCCAGCCTACAATCTCATGATCAGGTAGTCTGGGAAACAAAACCTTCATTCAGTGGCTGATGGAAACAGAGGCAGACAGACTCCCATTGCTAAGCATTGAGCTGAACTCCAGAAATGCAGTGACAGAGAGGGAGGACTGATGAGAAATGGGGTTAAGACTGGACTAGTTTAACCCCCAGAAACCGCTGACCTGTTAAGGGTTAGCAATTGAATCCCAGTCTGATGCCTGGGAGTCCAGCATGGGATTGATCAAGACCCCCTGAATGTGGGTGTTATTGAAGAGGAATAGGTAATCATCTTTTGATCAGTATTTATCCCGGGTATACAAATGGATTCTGGGATTCCATCCAACAATGAGGGATGCACTCAAACACTGGACACTTGGGGGAGATTCTAGGCCCTGCCCTGGATGAAATGGCAGACTTTGGACACCCCATTGGAGGGCCTTAACATGAGCGGATTTTGGTGGGAAGGTGTGGGAGGAGGGGAAGGAAAGGGAGAGGTACCTGAAATTAACATGTGAAGCAAACTTGTTTTTAATTTAAATTTAGTAATAAATAATATATATGTGTGTGTTACAAGCAGGGCCCCATCGAAGATCAAATTGTTTATAGCTTTGTTGATTTTTAGCTTTTTCCTTGGGTATCAATCAGGCAGAAGACATTTTATTTCAGTACTCAGTCAATAACAGATTGTATTTCAGGACTACTGCGTGAGATATTGCCTATTTCTCACACTGCTCATATGGCCAATAAGGTGATATTAGAGAGCCCTGGGAACTAAGAAAAAAATTAAAATACTGTTCTTGAGGAAGAAAGATTCTGAAAAAAACAATCAGTCTTGTCACACTGAGAACTAATAACCTTGAGGAATAGGAGGCTTACATGCTAACTGAGAACAATGTCTTCCCAGCATTTCAGTGAAGCTAGACCATGGTAAATACTGCCTAAGACATGGGATCAAGCAAAGATAGCATGATGAAATGGGGAGGAAGGTCACAGGAAGAGAGTAGGCTGTGGAAAAGGAAGGAGGTGGATTACTTTGTTATCCCATGCAAACAAGTGTCTGAAGATCCAGGTGGATCTTTACTGTGAGGAACAGCCGGCCCCTATGATGGTGTAAGGCAAGGAATTGAAGAACCACATAGCAGATGAATAAGGCATGGAAAGAAAGAGTCCTAATGTGTGTTTCAGTGAGGTCACAGAAGAGCTGTTAGTACCTTTTTGATTGGGAAGAGCAGATGTCTATGTTAGGTGCGGATGGTTTGCATTGTAGGAGTTAAATGCTAAATACTGGTAATCAAAATTCTTTTTAGTCATTGTTAAAGTTGAATCTCAGATATTATCTATATTTACATAATAGTTCTTTTGTTTTTTGAGGATCAATCTTCAAGTTTTATGCATGAAATAGTATACCACCTTGCTGTGGCCTCAACCACATTTTGTTAATTCAATGAAATGCAGATATTCATTATTTACTGAAATTCATGAAACATTTATTAATGATTACATTTTTAGTTTTTCTTATTTTAAATTGCTATAAATCAATTTAATAATTTTTGCAAAGTGGGCAGTGAAGTTTACAAGTAGAAAGAACAATAAAGGAAACCTAAAACATATTTCTATGTAAATCCATGAATTCATACTTAATAGTCTTGTTTTTCATTCTTTCTTTCTTCTCCGTTGTCACACAGTTTCATGTAGACCTCGAATAAGTACACTCTAAGATTCTCCTACTCCAAACTCATGCCTGTCATGTAATGGTGGGGATGAACATGGGGCTTCAGGCATGTAAAACAATACTCTTTCAAATATGCTACATGCCTAGGAAAATGATTCATAACTTGATGTTATGGAAGCCACTTCATTCCTAATTTCATCTCAAATAGCTACAGCATTATTTGTTGTCACTAAGGCTCCTGCTTCTGAGTTCATGATATAGCTGGAAGACATGCAAATAATGGTCCCCTCTCATCTTGAAAACCAGCCCTGGTGCTGCAGCTCTTTCAGAGGCATCCAACTCTGAACTCACAGGTCCACCCATTCTGTGGTGATCACTGAACACTCAACATCCAGCATAGAGATGAGACTGTGCTGGATTTTCCTTGTTGCTCTTTTAAAAGGTAATTTATGCATAAGAAAAGATACTGTGTGGGTGGACATGAGTGAGAGGGACAGTGGTCATTTTTGAAACTTTACTGACAGGAATCTCTTTTCACAGGTGTCCAGTGTGAGGTGAAGCTGGTGGAGTCTGGGGGAGGCTTGGTGCAGCCTGGAAAGACCCTGAAACTCTCCTGTGCAGCTTCTGGATTCACCTTCAGTGACTACTGGATGAACTGGGTTCGCCAGGCTCCAGGAAAGGGACTGGAGTGGGTTGCACAAATTAGAAACAAAGGTAACAATTATGCAACGTACTATGCAGCATCTGTGAGTGGCAGATTCACCATCTCAAGAGACGACTCCAAAAGCAGTGTTTACCTGCAAATGAACAGCTTAAGAGCCGATGACACCGCCATTTATTACTGTACTAGAGACACAGTGAGACGACTTCAATGTGAACCTTGACAAAAAAAAGTCCTAGCTGGAGCGCTCAAAACCAGCAGGGGGCGCAGAGCGTACAGGGAAACCAGCACATTGCAGGAACAGATGAAGACATACTTTGACGCTGGTTCTGAGGTCTCAGCTGTTACTCCATCTTAAGGATTTCCATGAATGTTTCTTGCACTTGTGGTCTATAGAAGCCTGGAGATCAGAGGGTGGAGCTAGCAACTAGTTAACCACAGAAACCAGGCAGTGGTGTCACATGCCTTTTATCCCAGCACTTGGGAAGTAGACAAAGACATAAGGTGGTATGTAGACAGGGTCTCAGGCTTTTTCGTTTCTGGAATACAGCAGGTAGGAAGCAAGTGGCAGTTGTCCCAAGTTCTCTGGTATTCCAGATTTTTACCCTGATATCTGACTTCTGGTTTTTTTTTATTAAGAATCATTAGATTAACACCTTCTCCTGTATCCAATTTTTGGGTAATTGTTTCATGAAATAGCAACTTGCCTATATCTTTGCAGTACCGGCCCCTGCAGAAGATGCACCTGGGAAGTAACTGTGTCCAGCAGAGTCACAGCATCACAGGCTGCTTCTCCCTTTCTTCCCCTATCCCTCTGAGACAATCTGTTTTCTTTTTTTTTTCTGTTGCAGCCTCTTGACAGCAAACACCACAGGTACCAGGGTTCCAAATGCCTACCGAGTCATCAGTTTTTGCAAGTTTTCCAGTGCAGATGGGTGGCTCTTTGGCTTCTTTTCACCAGTGGGTTGTGGGCTTTCCCTGGATCCCCTCCTCAAACTGTTCACATCCTGTGATTTCCACTCAGACTCTCTAAGTGTCACATTTCACCATCACTGTCAGCAGATTTGGAGAGAATTGGGAATACTTAGAGGGGATATTAGGTAAATTTTTTCCAACATTAGAAGTTACAAACACCATTATGATGGAAGGAGATATGTATCTGCATGATTACATGATGGGTGGTTTAAAAACAGAACTATTAAATGACAGGATAATTAACTTAGATCGGATTCACACAATGTCGATTAGTAATATTATTGGATTGATCCTTCTTGTTTTATTCCTAAAAAATTTTAGCTAATATGAGAGCATATTTGCTTGGTCTGAGTGCCAAGGAAGTAGGGCTAGAGGTACTGAAACTTCCCAAGACCAATTTCTTGGACAGGGTGAATATGCTGGTGTGTGTGTGTGTGTGTGTGTGTGTGTGTGTGTGTGTGTGTGTGTGTTTACCTGCATGAACTTGTGATTGTTTGACTTCTAAAGAGAGGAGGGGAAGAAGGACTGAAGTTGGAATGGTAGGGAGATGTGAGAACCTTGGGGGAAATGAGAGAAGAACTGTGATCAGAATATATTCTATATAAATGTTATTTTCAATGAAAGTAATGTTACCAGGCATATATCCCTCTCATGTCCTATTATTCAACTGAAATAAACAAAGGCTAGTTTCCTCTCAAAAGTGTCTTGCCACTACTTGGCCAGTGAACATATCTGTCTTCGCAGGGAAGAATTGTAGTAGAAATAATACACTGTAGGGAAATGTTTGATGACTTATTTCACTCTATGTAGTTTCCACAAGTTCTTTTGGAAATAGGAGCATCAGCGAGACTGGAAGAATTTTAAAATAAGTTCCAGCTTGAGTTACTTGTGTCTTATATCCAGAGTGTATGACCTGTTAAACAGCAAGGTCTTATCATCTTGATCTTGGGAATAACCCAGGACAATGATAGTAGCACGTATTGTTTTAGCAGCTCTGGAACTATGATTTAAAAAAACCAAAACAAAAACAATGGCTTCCATTTTCCTATGCATTCAGGTTAGATTTCAATCTCTGTGTTGTTACAGTATTTATTTTCCTATAAAATGAACACATTGGTCAGTTGTTTAAATCAATTTTAATTTTAATGTTTAAATCAGCTTAAAATTTAATCACAGATGAAATATTTAAACCAGTTTTAAATTTAATGCCAGATTAAATGCCACATTTATGTTTACCATAAAATCGTGGCACAAAGGACATGACATATTCTTCAAATATTTATTTTAAAATCTTCATAGTTTGTCATCTTACTTTCAAGTGATGCATTTATGTTTGCTGTTAACAGTGAAACAAATGAAATGAAATATAATAATCAAAACAAGAACCATCCCATTAAAGTTGGACAAGGCAAGTCAGCAGAAGGAAAAGAACCCCAAGAGAAGGCAAAAAAACAGAGTCCCACTCATCCATATAATCAGGAGCCTCATATATTGAGAAACAGGTATTTAAACTTCTTCAATTTGTAATCTTAATCTATTTTTCAAAGACAATTTTTTTCAATACATGAGAAAAATTTTAAATTTTTTCTGCTCCTGCTCTCTTTCATATTTAATCCCTCTTTTACTTTTATATGGATATTATATATAGCTGTATTATATTTAATGTCTGTATATACAAGTTACATACATTTGAAAATATATAATACTAGATTCTCAGTCCATATAATGTTAATTCTAAATATGTTTTCAGCAATTTTTGTATCATTTTATTTTTCTCCCTAGAAGAGTATTATCAGACACACAGTTCTTTAGTTGTCTGTGTTCCTTTTACTAGGGTGGAGAGCATATCAGCTACAACCTTCTGTGTTAGTGTATCTATTGATGTCATTATTATTTAGGTCACACTTCAACAGACATCTTGGTTAGATTTAATGATTATTTCTATTTCAATATGTCTGGGAGAGAGAATCATGCATCAAATTAATTGTTCTTCTTTAGCATACATTTTTATCCTGCTTTTACAGTGACCACTGACTCTTAGGTACAGTGATAATACTGCAAATCTACTATATGGTACTTCCCTTCACAACTTCACATTTTTGTCTGTTACAGTTTTCTGTGATACTCTCCATGTGTTAAAAAAAAGAAGTTTGCTTGAAGAATGTAATTGTCTTATCTCTGGGTAAAAGGATACATATTTACAGTGTAGTTAGAGGCTATACTATTTAGTAAAGTGGCAGTTATAGATTCTCCTCCAACACACATGTCTTGATAAATACCTGATTTTGGCAAGGTTTTCAGTACAAGGCATGATTTTCGCCTCATTGAGAGAGCTTTAAATCAAGTCATTTCATAACATCTTCTATCAACATTCCTAACTTTGTTTCTAATAACTTTTATAAAAATTAGTTTTATGATATATTCTGATTTTATTGTTTTGGTTTTCTACAAAATATTTTTAGGATAATTTTACTATTCCTGGCGTGCCTTCCAGTGACTGATGATGGCCACAGAGCTTCCCATTCTGTGGGAATCAAAAGCGCCAGATCCCAGGTCTTCTCTTCCACCAAGGAGACCAGGAGACCAGCTGGTCTGGTGAGACCAGGCAAACGGGCCCTGCATGCAGGCCTGCATTCCAGTGCCTGGGTATTGCCTGGGAACTGTACAGAACTTCTCATCCTGGCGGAGCCAAGCACCCCAGAATCCAGTACTTCTTTTCCACCAACGAGACCTGGAAACCAGCAGATCCAGTTAAAGAAGGCCCTGCATCTCGGGCTTGCTCTCCAGTGACTGAGGACAGCCACAGAGCTTCCCATCCTGAAGGGAGCATCCCAAATTCCAAGTCTTCTCTTCCACCAAGGGGACCAGCAGACTAGGTGGGAGGCTAAGCACCCCAGATTCCTGGGCTTCTTCTCCAACAATGGGACCAGAACTAGGATGAAGAATAGAAGAATTACCAGAGTATTGGACTTGCTTGCATCCACCAAAAGGGAACTCTGGTCCCCTAACCACCAGACCAGTAAGGGGCTCTTTCTGCTCCCACTAGAAGAAGAGATGGGAAAGATGCGAAACAACAATACACTCAGCAATAGAAAAACAAATATGACACCACCAGATTCCTGAGATTCCAGACCAGCAAGACTCCAACATTACATGCAAATGAAGTAGAAGAGAATGACCTTAAAAATACCTTCATGAAAATGATAGAGGCTCTGAAAGAGAATATAGGAAAATCCCTCAAAGAAAGGAATGAAAAAACAAGCCAAAAATTTCAATAAATGGAAGAAAAAACAAATGAAAAAATGAAAGAAATGGGAGAAAAAACGAAGCAAAAAAGACAGGAAATGGAAGAATGAACAATCCAAAAAATTCATAAAATGCAACAAATGGATGAAAAGATAAACTGAAAATTGCAAGAAATAATTCAAACAATGCAAGGTCTGAAAACTGAAATAGAGACATTAAAATAAAACACAATAGGAAGAAAGGCTGGAAATAGAAAAGATGGGCAAATGGTCAGGTACTACCGATACAAGTATTACCAACAGAATACAAGAGATGGAAGAGAGAATTTCAAGTGTTCAAGATACACATGGAGAAATGGATTCATCAACTAAAGAAAATCTTAATTCCAACAAATCCTTAACACAAAGCATCCAGTAAATATAGGCCACCATGAATAGACCAAACGTAAGAATAACAGGTATAGAAGAAAGTGAAGAAAACCTCCTCAAAGGAGCAGAAAACATATTCAACAAAATCATAGAAGAAAACTTTAACAACCTAAAGAAAGACATGACAATGAAGGTACAAGAAGCTCACAAAACACCAAATATAGTGGATCACAAAAAAGTCTCCTCAACACATAACAGTCAAGACCCCAAATATACAGAATAAAGAAAGAATATTAAGAGCAGCTAAGGGAAAAGGCCAAGTAAAATATAAAAGCAAACCTATCAGAATTACACCTGACTTCTCCATGGAAACTCTGAAAGCCAGAAGGTCCTGGATAGATAGTCTACCAACACAATGAGACCATGGATGCCAGCCCAGACTACTATACACGGCAAAGGTCTCAAAAACAATAGATGGAGAAAACAAGATATTCCATGACAAAACAAGTTTCAAGCAATATGTATCCACTAATCCAGCTGTGAAGAAAATTCTGGAAGGAAAACTCCTACCCAAGGAAGGTAGCTAAAAGAAGAAAAACATAGGCATTAGACTATCCCAATTTACCAGCAGCCA